TGGAGGTCGAAGTGCCTCAGCAGAAAAAGAAGTCCACCGCCGCGCCCAGCAAACGCGCCTCATCCTCTGACGGATGCTGCAAGAGCAAGAAGCGCTCTAGGCGCATTCAAATTCCTTCAAGCGATGAAGAGGACGAGGGTGATGATGATAAGGTGGTGGTGCAGTTCGATTCGGGAGATGAAGACGGCGGAGAGGTGAAGAAGGAAGAAGAGGAGGAGGAGAACAAACCGAAGCGGGAGAAGGTGGAGACGACGATGGAGGTGGACGACGGCGAGTTCATGGTCACCAAGCTCAGTGATAAGACGCTGGAAGCGGGCGGGAAGAAGAAGGCCGAGGTGGAGAAGGAGATTAAGAAAGAGGCGGCGGCTCCAAAGTCGAGCAAACCTTCCGCGGGCAAATCGTCCTCCCAGAAAGCGGTGCCCAAGAATCAGACCTCCATCATGTCCTTCTTCAAGAAGGCGCCGCCCAAGTAGCCCCCCACCCCCTCCCATCTCACCCTTTACATTTATTTTTACTTTATACTTTCATTTTTATACTCTCGAGTAATAATCTCATTTAATTAAAAAGACAAAACAAATCTTCAAACTGTGTTTTCTTGAGAAGTTCTTCGAAGTTCTGTTGTTCCTTTAGCCGTTACCATTTTACGCCGCTAGGTGACGCCACCTGAGTGCAAAAAAAAAAGTTCGCCGCTCGCGCGTTTTTTAGCACGCGGCACGCTTTATTTGCTGGTCATTTCCTCGCGGGACCTCGTCGCGAACGGTCACTTTCTTCAGGTGAGTTCTATTTTGTCTGCTGTTCGATTTCTCTCATAACTCTCGGTTTTCTGGTCCCCTGTATTTCCTTTTAGCTTGGTCTACTACTACTATCACTGCTGTTNTTTTAGCTTGGTCCACTACTATCGCTGCTGCTTTTTCAGGCCAATGGCCGTGCACTGTCGGCGGCGGCGGTAGAGAGATTTCGGGTGAACCAAAGAGAGAATCTTGCGCTTGCGCGCATTTCACCAGTCGGATTCTCTCCTTTCGCTGCTTTCCCGCGTTCCATTTGGCGCCCGTTCGTTTTTGCGAAGAAGTATTCTGCTGCAGCCACCACCATAGTTCAGTCGTCTGTTGGACTCTGGCGCGACCACATATC